TTGTGAGCTCTGTGTTTGTTAGTTGGGCTTATTGTCCTGTAGACTTTGCTAGCACTAATTATATTATTTAAACTTTCGAAAGAATAATTAAAACTAATAGCATAACCATCAAAATTTAGGAGGGGCTGGGTGTGGTGGCACATGCATGTAGTCCCAGCTACTCTGAAGGCTGAGCTGGGAGGATGCCTTGACCCCAGGAGTTCCAGACTGCAGTGAGCTATCTATGATTGTGCCACTGCACCCCAGTCTGGATGACAGAGTGAGACCCTGTCTCTAAAAAAAAAAAAAAAAAAATTGAGAGGCATCAAGAATAGTATGAGTGAGCTCCCATTTTTCATAGCACAGGCATATATTTTACTGATAATATCTAATGCTTTAAAACAAATCAAGAAATATTGGTACCAGCACATTAGTCTTTTCATAGTAACCACAAAAATAACTAAAAAAAGTTTAAAAAAATGGCCTCTAAGGAGCAAACTGAGGAAGAAGCAATTAGGAACACTGCTTTCCACTATAGTCCCTTTTGTATTATCTTTTTAAGATCATAAGCATGTATTTCTTCAAAATAAATACAAACAAATTGAAAATAAAATAATGGAAATGGAGGAGAAAATGTAGGAAATTTGAAAAGAAAAAATGATTTTAATTCTAAAAAAAAGAAAGAAAAATTCAAAGACTCATATGTACTAAATTTCTTGGACAGAGGGAGAATATTGTTGTCAAGGAGATCAAAGCAAAATTTCTGTTGAACAGAAAATTTAGCTCTTTAAAAAAAAAAGGAAATCCATGACAATTTATTCTGCAGAATATTATACCTTACTCCAGCTTTAAAAAGCCAATAAAATGGTTTTAATGAGGTCCTTGAAACTTTGTTTATAATGTGACTACATTTTTAAAGATTTGGTTTGTGGAGTCTACTACACTGATAGGAGTAAAAGTCAGACAACCTAGGTGTGAGTTTCAACTCTACCACTTGAAAGCCATGTATTCTTGGGCAAGTCACTTTCCTTTTCTGAGCCTAAGTGTCTACACTTATGAAAATGGAGATAACTACTACCTGCCTAACACACTGCTGCTGTGAATTATCAAATGAGACTTGGAGCACTTTACAAAGGTTGAAATATTACACAGATAAATTCAAGGAATAAGTACTAACATTTCCCTGAATTAATAAAGCCATACGTACTCTGTACTCTTGACTGATTAAATGCCAAATTAAGTCTTAGAAAAATGTGAACAAAAAATGTGATATAAACTAGTATCAAAAAAATTGGATTTGAACTAGGTGGGAGATTCAAGCTCTAATCCAGGCTCTACAACCAGATAATGTCCATGACTTCTTTGGGTCTCTACACAATCAAACTAAACTAGATCACCTTTGTAAAGGTGCTTCATGAGTGTATTTTCCATCACACGGTAATTCAAAAGGGAATTTGTTCACCACCTTTTCTATCAGGGCTATATCTCACTTGGGAAAACTTCTACTGTTAGACATTTGAAAATCACTGGCTTGAATTGAAATTTTTTATTTCCATTTTCAGGCTTTTTATAAAACTGAATTATCTTTAACCTTACATTCTACTCTTTCTCAACACAGACCTTCATTCTGAGACCAGTTTGTTCTACTTATTTCTTAAAATGCCATGGCCAATTCCTGCCTCCACATTGTTGTCAATATATAGGAAGTTCAACAACTTTGTGGTTGCTGCTATAGCTGGCTGAGTAGCTCTGCCCTGAGTCCCAGTCCCACCCCCTACTTACCCACCCAAACTTTGCCAGTGCTTAATATCTTGGATATAAGACTGCTTTCTAAAAGAAAAGCCACAGTAGATCAGAAACAGAACACAGTTCTCAAGTTAAAGAGAATCTAGCTTCCAGGCCAGCACCACTTCTCTGTAATTTGACAGAATGTATGAAAGCACTGAAAGAAAGAACTAAGAAGGAGGTGGTAGCCTTAGTCAGCACTAGAACATAGCAGGAAAGAAAACTGATAGTTAAGTCATCTGTGCACTGCCTAGAGGAGAAACACTTTGTTGAGTTCTGATGGTAGGATAGTCCTATCACGGAGATAGGTGCATTCACTTGTTACAGGCTGATGCTGTTAAATGTTTATGTCATATATCTGACTCCCTGTGATTTGATTTCATGATCACCAAAACTCTTCTGATTCTTTGACTTCTCTTATGGTGCATCTAGAAAATTCCCTAACTAGAAATGCATCCACTTAGCTATTCCATCTGTGCCATAAGTTAATAAAATAGCATTCTGAATTCAGACATCTGTTTCTGTGACCTTGAGCAGAGAGAGTCCATCCTGACAAGAGGCAGGCTAACAAATTAGTTTGAAGGCCTAGGAACTGAAAGGTCAGATCCTGGACTGGTAAATTTACCAGCAGAAAGCCACTCTATGGAAACTACATGGGGTACTCCAGACTGCCTCAATAAATCCCCTCTTGTTGCACTATTTCTTTTCTTTCTTTTTCTTTTTTTTTTTTTTTTTTAACATTTGTACACACCTTTATTTAGTCAAGGCCACTAAAGACAAATAAAAGCCCTTCTATGTCCCGGTCTTTACATACCTTCACCAAAATTTCTATGTACCCTAAGCTACAGCAGAAACACGCATTGAAGTTTCTATCTCTGCTTGTCATAGTCTTCCTCTTCATTAGTTTTTAACTAATTCTGAAAGTTCAGCACAAATAATTTTTTTTCATAAATGCTTTTCAAACACAACCCACCCAGAATAAAATTAGTAATCTTGGTGACCAAGGCAAGTAGCAAATTGCCCTCAGATCAATTTATAACTTATATAAGGGCATCAGAGACTCAACAATATATGCCTCATGAGAGTCATGAAGAATTGGCAGCATTTGGTAGGTTACTTTTTTAACTAAATAGGTATTAATCAGGTGTTAAACTCGGTTTCTTTATGTCAAAAGCTACGTATCTGAACTATTATTTTACATTTCTGCACTCTAAATTTCTGTGCTGTGGGACATACCCTGGCTTATGTACAGTTATCAGTCTACTGTAGATACATCTTTGTTTCCCAATTAAAAGGTATCTTTGTTTCTCCTTCCCATTGAGAGGATCAATGAAGAAATTACTTTTTAATAATAAAATTAGTTAAATCTATTCCTCTGTGAAGGGTACTTATTACTTGCTCCCTATATTTGTGTTTTATCTTCTCTTCCATGTTCTTTGAAGATATGATCCATATCTATTTCATTTTTCTATATCCCACAGGTTTTCAGTCAGTGCCTTGTATATAGAGGGCACTTTAAATATAAATTAAGAATTTCTCTTCCATTTTCAAGGACATTTTGCCTCATTCTTTTTATATGTATCCCATCTTTTCACGAAGTCTTCCTTGACCATTCCAATACAGTTTACTTCTACTTTTGAAACAAGAAGTGACCGCCTATTAACCATTTAATTGCTACCAAAACTACTCTAGCATCATCTTTTCATAACATTTTATAGTTTTTTTATATTTCAGTATATCCCAACAATATATTGGCACAGCACTGACAATTAATAAATACTAATTCATTCGACCAATCTTTTAGAAATCAGTCAGGAAACTCATTAGGAAAAGTATAGTTAAAACTGGCATCTAAAGGGAACAAAAAGAGTCTTGCCACTTTAAGTGTGGTCCACAAACCAGCAGCATTTGTATCACCTGGAAGATCATTCTGAGGCACAATCTCAGACTCCAGCACAGGCCTCCTGAATCAGAATCTGCATTTGAAGATCCCCAGGTACGCTGTAAGCACTTTAAGGTTTGAGAAGCACTGTTTAGACTCTAAAGGAAAAATATTAATGTCCAAGGTGCATATAACCAAGTAACACAAATACCTCATTATAATTGCTTATTTGTTGGCCGTCTTTATCTGCTAAAACTAAAGACTTGTTGAAGGCAGGAACCCTTTCTATTTTCCTCACCACTAGTCTTTCCCAGGCTTTAGAGGACTTAGAACATCATCTAGTGCTCAGTATTTTTTTTGCTAAATGAACAACCAAACAACGTAAAAACAAAACTTTTCCATAAAGCTAACCCTTTAGGAAATTCATTTGTACAACATGATTTCACATACTACCATACAAATTCTTTAATTATCATTAATTCCATTTAAAATGTGCTGCCTTCTCTATTTCAACAAATGTATTTTATGCACTTGACAAGGCAAAAGCTTGGATTATCTTCCTCTGTTGGAGCCACCAGGGCCCTCTTTTACAAGTAAAACAGCTGCATTTTCATTCTGGCTGTCACAAATCCATCTCTTATGCCTGCAAGAGACTTAATCACCACAACAACCTGGTGGGGAGGAAAGGGGAGAGGATGAATGGTTAAGGCAAAAACAATTCTGTATCAGGAGTATCACATGGAACCTAGAAAACACGATTCTTTGACTAGGATATTTCCAGAAAATAGCTGCCGGCAAGGGAAGGAAAAAAAGAAGAAAAACCCTTGCCTTTCTCAAGAGCAAAAGGTGATACTAGAGAATACCAGGGAGTGATAGAAGACCAGAGACTACCTATCGACAGAAGGTGGAAACACATCCGGATAGCGATTAGAAACGTCCAAGAAGGGTGCCAGAAACCACTTTCAGGTTTTCAGAGAAGGAAGTCAAGAGAGAAAGTGGAAAGGAAATAGCTCTGTTAAGGGTATAATTTACGATAATGATTAATTTTTTTTTTTTGTAGAAAAAAAGATGACATGCACTTGAAGGGGAAGGGAGGGGGGGAGGAAGGGAGGTTGCAATTCAGCGCGCTGCAAAAGGAAGCGATGCAGATGTCTCTCTGCCCTGTTTAGACGTCCGAAAGAGGCAGCCCAGGCATAGGTGGGTGGCAACGCCCAGCTCCACTGGCCCCCGCCCCACTGCCCAAGCCATCTCCTCTGAAGCCTGCGAAGCCCTGGGTGGGGACAAGAAAGAGCGGACTGTGTGTGGGAAGATGTGCAGCAGGAGGAGGCGGATGCCGGGCCGACCAGGTACCCACCTTATCCCAGCGGAGCCACTGCCCGATGGCCGTGTCTAGCTGAGGGTCCCCGGTGTGGTAGGCGGTGTGGAGCAGGTTGGAGTTCAGGTCCCCCTCTGCGTTTTCAGCCATGGCAGGCAGACTGCGGTGTGCAGGCCGGGGGTCCAGCGAAAACACCGAGTTAGTGGGGTCTGGGGAGCGTTCACCAGGGTCCAGACGTCCCCTCCTCACCGAAGGGCATCAGAGACCAACCGCTGGGTATTTGCGCCAGCTCCTGCCGCAGCTTTAGGGAACCGGGAGAAAGGGGGGATATGGCCGCCAGCTCCCCAGAGGACCAGGTCCGGGTCTTGGAGCGAGCTGACTGAGGCGGTCGCGCCGCGACAGAACAACAGTCCCAGATGTCTCGGTCTTGGCCCCAGCCGCCGCCGCCCTTCGCTGCCTTAGGCCCCGCCCCCTGGCCGTAGACCCCGCCCCTTCCCGCCTCCGCTGATTGAAGTCCCCGACGCACTAGGCGCGAGCCCGGGAGCGCGCTTCGCACGCCTCCACAGTAGCGCATGTTTGCAGTCGCCTGGGTGTTGAGGCAATGGTGCGTGTTTATTTTTTTAATTTTCCTTGTTACCATCACCACACACTCCCTAGTGTCTCCTTTCCTCGATCTGCCCTCACGGCTACCACGAGCAGACTGACTCCGTGCTCGCTGAGAGGGTCCCCGGCGCGCGCTCAGATCCCCAGCTTTGTCTAGGGACACGCGCCTTTTGGGGGGGGCGGTGTGCTAGCAACCCGCGCACGGCCTCACGGGAATGGTAGTTCTTACCTTTCCCTGACATCAGCGGAGACTGCCGCAAAAACTGCGACTCCCAGGAGCCCCGCGCTCTCCCTTTCCTCAAAGGAAAAAGATCTACCTCGGGGCTGTTCTCCACAGCCTTGTTAATTGTGCTGTGTGGCCCTGGCGTTAAATTAAATTAAACAAGAAATGACATAGTAAAGGAGTAACTGGTATCCATTTTAGTGCTTTACAGTTAACGAATCGCGTGCTGTCCCTTCAACCATCTAGTGAGGTAGGTGGGCGTAATCCTTTCCTGTTTTACACACAAAGAGGAAACTGTATGAGAGCTGCACCAACTTTTTAGGAGGCCAAGTTCATGGGTTCCAATCCCGTTTCAGATGTCCTCAGTTGGCAGTTATTTTAGCTCTGCTGCTACAGTGGACTAGGATGTAGAGAGAACAAGATGACCAAAAATTAGACAAGTTGTTAAGGGAAGATGGGTCAGCATTTAACCTTAACATAAAAACGTATAAGCGGCACAAGATAAAAAGAGCGATGGCAGTGGGAATACAGAGGAAGAAGAAATTAGTTCTCTCAAATTGAAATAATCTTCAGTTTCTTCTTAGCCACCTCTCTTCTATGCAGTGCTCACCTTTCTAGTCACATAACTTGAGATCTGGTCAATGCTGAGAAGTGCTCACCTGTCAGCTACCCAGCTGCTCCTGAGTTTCTTGGTTTGGCTTCCTTACAATGGCTATGATTTTGGCCAAGTATCTCACAACTCTTTCCCTAGTCAGCTTTTTTGTAAGGAGGGTATGATAATATTTACACCATGGCTATATACTAATTTAATAAATGGCTTTAGACTGCTTTGAGGTTCACAGATAAAAGACATAATAAATTCAAAGTATTACTTTCTTTCCTTTAAAGTGCCAGTTACTATAATAAAATACAAACTACCAAGGTACAAAAGGATTGTGGTGCCAATTCCTGAAATACATGCCATAGTTGGGAGTTGCAGTTTTTGCTAAGCAACTAAGTGTTTCTTTTGTGGAGTCAGCAAGTTCTTTTGTGGAGTCACACAAGTCCTGGGAAACAACCATGCATCTTGGAGAGAAATTCATCTTCTACCATCATTACCATTGTCCATGATAAGTATTAATTAAACAGTTACTCTATGATAAGCATTATATAGAAGCTGAGGCTGCAGGAATGTATATGATAATAATTGTTCCTTTCAAGAAATAAAATCTGTCTGGGGAGACAGGATATATGCAAGAAAAGATAGACCATGATAAATACCAAATGCTTGCTACAAACAATTGTTTATTTAAGTCTGAGATGGTCAATAAGAGCATCACGCAGAAGGAGAGACCCACACTGGCCTTTAAGGAACAGAAAATAAACAAGTTTAGGAAAAGGTGGAGGGCATTTCAAACCCATAGATCAGTGATTCTCAAATTTCCCTAGGAGTTTGTTTAAAATTTGTATTCCTGGACACTGCCCCCAGAGATTCTGAATCAGTACATTGGGATGGGGCCTGGGTACCTGCCTATTTAAAATATCTCTTGACTGTGACATATGTGGCCATAATCTTGCAACTCAAAGTGTGATAGGAGCACTGCTATGTTGGCGTTCTCTGGGGGAAATACAAAATTTCAGGCCCCACCCCAGTTCTACCAGATCAGAATCTAAATTTTATTAATAACAAGATCCAATGATGATTTATATTTAAATTTGATAAGTAATCTTTATAAGACAATTCTTAATTCAGTTCTGAAAAACACTACCAAATCAACAGAACTTTCAAGAGATGGAAAAAAAGAGTTAATTAACCTTCACTTTCATCAGCAAGATCATAACAGACATTAACTTGTTACCAGAAATCTTGCCCAGCTGATTAGGCTTATTGCTTAGACATGAAGGATAACCAAGGGAGACCCAGACCTAGGCTACAAACCTGTACAGCATGTTACTGTACTGAATATTGTAGGCCATTGGAACACAGTAGTGAATATTTGTGTATCTAAACATATCTAAACATAGAAAAGGTACACTAAAAATATGGCATAAATGATTAAAAAATGGTACACCTGTATAGGGCACTTAACCATGAATGGAGCTTGTAGGACAAGCTTGTAGCTTGTAGGACTCTGGGTGAGTGATTGAGTGAAGGGTGAGTGAATGTGAAGGCCTAAGACATTACTGAACACTACTGTAGACTTTATAAACACTGTACACTTAGGCTACATTATATTTATAAAATATTTTTTTTTCAATAATAAATTAACCTTAGCTTACTGCAACATTTTTACCTTATAAACTTTTTAATTTTTTAACACTTATTGACTCTTTTTGTAATAACTCTTAGCTTAAAACACCAACATATTGTATGGCTGTACAAAAATATTTTCTTTCTTTATATCCTTAGTCTATAAGCTTTTTTCTATTTTTAAAATCTGTTCTTTTTTACTTTTTAAACTTTTTTGTTACTAATAAAAACTAAGACGCAAACACACACTTTAGCCTAGGCCTACAGGGTCACGATCATCACTATCATTGTTTTCTATCTCTACATCTTGTCCCACTGGACAATCTCCAGGGGCAGTAACATGCATGGAGCTGTCATCTCCTTTGATAGCAATGCTTTCTTTTGAAATACCTCCTGAAGGACCTGTCTGAGGCTGTTTTACAGTTAATATTTTTTTTATAAGTTGAAGGTACACTTTTTTTTTTGAGACAAGTTCTTGCTCTGTCACCCAGGCTAGAGTGCAGTGGCCTGAGTATAACTCCTAGGCTCAAGTGATCCTCCTGGCTCAGCCTCCTGAATAGCTAGGACTACAGGCATGTACCACCATACCTGGCTAATTTTTAAAGTTTTTTGTAGAGACAGGGTCTTGCTATGTTGCTCAGGCTGATCTTGAACTCCTGGCCTCAAGCAGTCCTCCCACCTCGGCCTCCCAAAATGCTAAGATTACAGATGTGAGCCACCAGGCCTGGCTTTACAGTTTAAAATAACGATAAAAAAGTATCGTATAGCATAGTAAATACATAAACCAGTAACATAGTTGTTTATTATCATTATCAAGTATTATGTACTGTAATAATTATGGTATACTTTTATATGACTCTGAAGTAGGTTTGTTTACACCAGTGTCCCCACAAACACATGAGCAATGCGTTGAGCTACCATGTTGTGATGACTACAACATCACTGGGTGATATGAATTTTTCAGCCCCGTTATAATGTTATAGGACCACCATTGAATATGCTGTTTATCGTTGACTGAAATGTCATTATGCAGCACATGACTATATTATAATATGTATATTACATATACTATATATATAATTATATATATGTAATGGACCTAATATTTTAGGATCATGATATATGTATAACGTACTCTCAAATGGCTCAGAAAAAATCTATGTATATGTATATACAAATATTTATTATATACATATATGTACAAACATATACTAACTATATAGCTAGATAAATAGTAAATGATAAAATGAAGGGGAAATGTTAACAGTAGATGAATATGAGTAAAGGATATATGGCTATTCTTTATACCATTTTTATTTTTGAACTTCAGAATTATTTCCAAATAAAAAGTTTAAAAGAAAAACCTCAAGTGTATAAGAAATATCCATTTCTTTATTATTTTTAAAAATCCAATTGAAAGACTCCAAGCTGTCATTCTGTTGAGGAAGCAAGAAATTAAATTTTCATCAGTATCAGAGGTTTCCCTCCCCACCCAGGCTTTATGTGGTACTGGGAGAAACAGTAAGACTCTATAGCTCTAGTTCGTCAAAGTTTCTGCTAACCTCTGCATTGTCCAAGGCCATAGTGGTCACTGACACCAGAAGTATGACAGCTTTCTCCTTGCGTACCATTCATAAGCAATCACCAGGAATCTTGGTTGAGGCTAGGAACCCCAAAGCGTCTGTCTAGGTTTACCACATAGCAATCCCTTCTAAAATCTTGCCTATTCCTTGAAGTGTTACCACCAAGCAGAGTTCAAGGCTTCTTTCTCTCATCACCTTCCTATTTTAAGACTTTAAACCTTGAGGAAATCTATCATTCTGCTCCATGATTGCTCTGAAAAGAAGTATTTTCTCTTATTTTTGCTGAGAAAGATACTTGTCATAAACTGTAATGACCTCTGTATTAAAAAGAGAGGAAGAGAGAATGAGAGACAGAGGAAGGGAGTCAGGAAAGGAAGTATCTTGGTATCTTGCAAGCAACTTTCTACTTTTAGCCCTCTTACATAAAACCTCCTCTGAGGCAAGGGGATATAACAATAACAACAAATAAAAGGGTGGTTATCTTTGTGTAAGGGGGATGGATGCAGAACACACACAGGATTGCAGTGAAGCAAGGCGAAGAACCCAGGGTGCAGAATGTAAGGAGGTGCTTGCTCTCAGGTTTGTGGAAGTGCAGGATTGGCACCCGAGAGTGAGTGCCTCATTACATTTTTTAAACAGCTTTATTGAGATGTAATTCACAGACCATAAAATTCACCCATTTAAAGTGTAAAATTCAATAGTTTTTAAATTACATTTGCAGAGATGTACAAATATTATTTCAGTCAATTTTAGAACATTTCATCACCTCAAAAAA